CAACAGTGGCATCATGTAATATTTGTCCTTTTGTGACTGGGATATTTCACTCAGCATAATGTTGTCCAGAGTCAACCATTTTGAATAAAATTGCATGAGTTCCTTGTTTTTTAATGCAGCATAGTATTCCACATAATTTTCAATGACTATGATCTTTCATAGGGAACTCTGGTGGCCTTCTGGTAAGAAGTTACACTGCAATCCCAAAGGCACATGGTTTGAATCCACAAACTACTCTGTGGGAGAAAGGTGGGCATTCTCCTCCCAAGCAATTTACTGCCTCTGAAACAATAACAATCTTTCATAGTTGTTTCATAGGATAACAGAAGAATTAATGCCTTTGAGTTGTGATGTTGGAGAAGAGGACTGACTATCCCATGGACTAACAAGAGAACAGAGAAGTTCCTTTTAAAAAAATTTTTATTCATTTATTCTTGTACATTTTCTTCCTTCCCCTAAACAGATATATCTTAGAGAAAGTACACCAGAGTGTCCTTAGAGGCAAGGATGATGAAGCTTCCTCTCACATACTTGGGCATGTGGTTAAGAGAGGTTGTTTGTTGAAAGGGACATCATGCTTGGAAAGTGGGAGCATTGGCAAGACTGGAATATCCTCAATGAGAAGGATTGACACTGCGGCAGTGGGCTCAAGTGTGTCAAGGTGATGAGGATGGCACAGGCTAGGACAGGGTTCAGATCTTTTGTTCTTAGGGTCACTATGAATCATACTCAATGGCACCTAGCAACAACATGATCTTTCAAAGTAGATTATCAGTCTTTTCTTCCAAGATAGGTGGATTCAAACTGCACTTTTCAGTTAGTAGCTATCTACCTGTGCCACCAAAGAGCTATAAATAAACATTAAATATGTTTCAAGGTCAAACTTTTGTAAATGATATGTATGTTTATGTGTGGTTATCTTTTAAAAACCAGATCATTATCTTGAAGATAGTAAATAAAGAGAATGAATCAAGCACTTATCTTGATGATCGTATATAGAATGTACCACTGGATAATAGGATAGAAAACTAGTCTGAATTACAATTCAGAATTGCAGGTATGCTGAGGCTCATTGTAGCAGTCTCTGGATCAGGTCCTGTCACTGAAGATCTTTCTCTCTTTTGCTGAACCTCTTACAAGCAAGATTGCTTCTTCCTAATAACATGTTCAAATTAAGCAAGATGAAGTCTGACCATCCATGCATTTAAGGTATATTCTGACTTTCCTTTGTCCAAATAACATTTGTTTGTTTTTCTGGCAGTCCATAGGATAGTCATCATTCTTTACCAACGTCATAGTTTAAGTGCATCAAAATGCAGCGGAGGCAGGGCCACCTTCCCAAAGCTGACGCACAACCCACTGCCATTGAGTTGCTCTTGACCCATTGTGGCCCTATAGGACAGAGTCCCCCAAAAGGGTTTCTGTAGCTAAGCTATAGAACTCTTTACAGGGGCAGGCTGCTTCATTTTTCTCCTGAGGAGCAGCTGGTGGATTTGAGTCACCAACCTTTCAGTTAGTAGCCCAGCACTTAACTCACTGTGCCACTGGGGTCAAAAGAATATCCGCTGTAATGATAATGTGGATGGGGGTAAAGCTTTCAGGAAAATCCACAAGGAAGATCAGAAGGACTAGTACTCAAATTTATGCATCAACCACTAATGTATCCTGAAATTGATCAGATTTGCAATCAAGATGCATTGATGGGAGTATTAGAGAACTGAATACAAAAGGCGGACATAAAGATCCATAGTTGGAAAATATGGCCTTGGGGACAGAAACAACCTGGAAGATTACTTGATAGAATTCCTCTCCTCCCTCATGAGGTGGGTTGATTTCAGTCTTGTGGTGGTCTTTCTAATCAACCTGGTCCCACCCAGGAGTGATCCCTACATGTTATCTAGAGATCTAAATAACAATCACTGGGGAATAACAGAAATACTGGGGAGAATGTTAAGGGTTTTGTTGGCTCTCAAAATTAAGGACAAAGGCCAAATTAACAGAGGTAAAGTGCTACTTAAAAAAAAAGCCTCTAACAGACACAAGCGTCAAAGTGGAATTTATTTAAGCTTTATATTTGTTTTATGTGATTTTCAGTATTGGTGTTTTATTTTAAATAAAAAGTTGCTAAAAATCTATGAATAGTATTTTACTGTTTATCTGAAGACGAATATTTTTTTTAAGGCTAACACCTTCCTGTCACTGTGCATTTAGATTTCCACCGGAGCCTGGAACATTCTCTGCCTTTTGTTCTGTAGGGACTTGCTTCCAAGACTGTTTTTGGTTTTGTTTTGGGTTTTTTTTTAACTTTCCTCACTTTTATTTACATTACTCATTTTTCTCTTAAACTACAAAATCAGTAATATAAAATGTACGTGATAATGGCTAAGGTATTACATTAAATAGTTATTGGTTGCCAGGTACAGTTTTGAAGGCCTTGTACTCATTGACCCCTAATGCTCCCCAAACCAATGTGAGGGGTAGATGCATCCCTATTTTATAAAGAAATTGAGAGCTAAGGCCATAAATCAGGCTTAACCTGTTATGCTGCTTCTGTTGGCATAGTTTTAGATCTCATGGTATTTATGAACCTGTTGACTTGGCTGCATATTTTGAAGTACAGTGTGCGCCATTTCTGTTTCAGTGTATGACCTCTGTATTCTTTTCTGGTTTTGCACATTGTACCAGTCATTGTTATGTGCCGTTGAGCTGCCGGCGACTCAAAGTGACACTATGTACAATAGATTTAAATTGTGCCCTATCCTGAGCCAGTCTCAACATCTCTGACAGACCTAATCCCATTTTTCCAGTCACTGAGTCAGTCCATCTCATGGGGTGTTTCCAATCATTAATTGTTGCACATTTTCCTCCCTGATCCCCCCCCAGATTGCGTTAGAATTTAATAAAAATATATTATTTTTTTTTAAAAAAAAGTTTTTTCATT